GGAGGGGCCCCCTGCCACGGGGAGGGGCAGGAGCAACAGCAGGAGGGTGGCAGGCAGGGCCATGGTCCCTGTGCGAGCCCCTCGCACACTTGTGCGCTCACAAGGGGGCACAGGGAGGCGGGGGCATTGACTTTGGCCAGGGGGTTAAAGGTCAAGGGTGGTGGTGAGGGGGGAAACGAGAGGCCGTTGGCCCTGACTGGTAGGGGGTGCGGGGGGCACTGAGACAGACAGACAGACACACACACGGGTGCCCTCGCATGTGGATGCATGTGACAGCACGTCCAGGTGTGTGTCCTGACATGCCTGTGTGCCCAGAAATGCACAGGGCCCCACGGCTCTCCAAGCATGAGCGTGCGCACACACACACACATACACGTGTGCAAACTCAGCACAACCCAGAGCCCAACTGCACACATGTGTGAAACAGGCTGGTGCAGACAGACATGTGCACATGTGGGGGCACCCTGCAGCTTGCACACACGTGTGCACGCACACACACACCCACACACGGCCAGACACATGCACATGTGCAGATATTCCCAGACACATGCATGCACGTGTGCACACATACACACGTATATTGTGTGCATATTAGACTGTGCTGGAAGTTCCTGGGCCATATTGGGCTATAGTGGGCCACACTGGGGCATATTGGGGTGTACTGGGTTGTGCTGAGGCATATTACATCATACTGGGGCACACAGGGCCATATTGGGGCATATAGGGCCATCCTGGGTCATACAGGAACATATGGGGCAATACCGGGCCATACTGGGGCTGCAGAGCCATACTGGGGCATATGGGGCCATGCTGGAGAATACAGGCCCATACAGGGCTGTACTGGGCCATACTGGGGCATATGGTGTAATACCAAGCAATACTGGGGCTGCAGAGCCGTATCAGGGCATATAGGGCCATATTGGGGGCTATGAAGACACGAGGGAGCACTGGGTCATACTGGGCCAGGCCAGGACCTGCCCACGCTGGGGAATAACCATTGCAGAGCCCAGCACCCCCTCATGGCATCTACTCCCCACCCCCCAAGGGCCGGGGGGGCAGGGTGCCAGGCTGGTGCCACTGGGACACAGACCAAGGCCGGGGGTCAGTGCCCCCAGATGGGGCAGAGATCGGAGACACGGGGGAAGGGAGGCAAAAGTCCAGTGTCTGCCCCAGGATGGCCTGGAAGGGGGGGGCAGGGGGTAGATGAAGGCCAGTGCGGGGTCACTTGGGGATCTGGGAGTGTCACTGTGAGGGTGGGGGTTACTGAGGGGTGAGATGGGGGCAGAGGCTGTGGTAGGGAGCAGGAGAGAGGTTTTCCCATTTACACCCACCCAAGACCCCCCCGCCCCAATTCAGCCTCATCTACCTCTTGTTATACCCACCCATAACCCTCCCCAGACCCAGCTGCATCCACCTCCCTTCACACCCTGCCCCCCCCCCCCCAAGACGCACACACTACACACACTGCTGCCGAAAGATAAATACTGTATTTTCTCTACAGGGCGACAAGAAGGGGGGGTTCCTCTGGTATTTTTTTTATCCACACACTGAGAACAAAGAGACCGAAAAAAGCGGCTTGGACAGATGGGGAAAAGGGTGGGTTTTTTTTTTCTTTTTTTTGCCCGGTTTTGGCTTTTTTCACCCCATTTTCCTGACATCACTAAAGTGCTCTAGACCGGAGGTGCAGGGGGGGATTGGGGCCGGGGGGGGACGCGATACATTCAGTAGCTGAGCGCCCGCTGAGAAGTCAGTGCCAAAGTGCAAAAGTCCTTACAGCTATGTACATAGTCAGGACCCCCCACCCCAAAAAGCTGGACCCCCCCCCCCGGGGGGGGGAGTAGGGCCAGCAACCTCCTCTGAATGCCTTTGGTGCTCTCTGCAAACCTCCCCACCCTGTTGGATAGGTGTTGGGCCTCCGTTATATGCAGCCGTGTGCTACCCCAGAGCTGGGAGCATCTGGATGGTGGGAGCGGGGTCATATGCAGCCAGAGCCCACCCCAGAGCTCACTGCTGAGTGTGGAGGGGGAGGTTGTTATATGCCACCGTGAGCTACCCCAGAGCTGGGTGCATCTAGGTGCTGGAAGGGGTTGTTATACGCAGCTGTGTGCTACCCCAGAGCTGGGGCATCTGGGTGTTCAGGAGGGGTATGTTATATGCAGCCAGGGCCCACTCAAGAGCTGGTGGCAGCTTGGTGCTTGGTAGGGGGTTGTTATATGTAGCCATGTGCTACCCCAGAGCTAGGTGCATCTGGATGGTGGGAAAGGGGTTATATGCAGCCATGAGCTACCTCAGAGCTGGGTGCATCTAGGTGCTGAAGGGGGTTGTTATATGCAGTTATGTGCTACCCCAGAGCTGGGCAAATCTGGGTACTGAGCAAGGGAGGGTGGGGGGCGAGTTCTATGCAGCCATGTCCTACCCCAGAAGTGGCTGCATCTGAGTGCAGAGGTGCGGGGTGGGGCAGGATGTTCTATACAGCCAGGAGCCACCCCAGAGCTGGCCGCGCTGCGTTACTGGCAGGTATGTTATAGTTAGCTGTGGCCCACCCCAGAGTTGGCTGCATCTGGGTATAGGGGAGTCTGTTATATGCAATGTGCTACCCCAGAAGTGGCTGCATCTCAGTACCTAGAGAGGGGGGGGGTCCCTACACCTAGCTAAGGAAGGTGGTCCTGTTTTTTGCAGCCAGTCTTACCCCAGAGGCAGCTGCATATGGGCACCAGGTTCGTATAGAGGAGGAGGTGTTATATGCAGCCAGTCTTACCCCAGAGTCAGCTGCTCTGGGCACTGGGTGTGTATGGAGGGGGGTATGTTATATGCAGCTGTGTCCTACCCCAGAACTGGCTGCATCTGGGTGCTGGATGCGGGGGCAGGTCCCCTGTTATATGCTGCTGTGCCCCACCCCATAGGTGGCTGCATCTTGTACTGGAAGGGGGAGGAGGGCACATCCCTGTTACACCCCAGGTGTGTCCCACCCCAGAGGTGGCTGCATCTCAGCCTCTGGAGATGAGCTCCCTCCCTCCCAGCAAGGGCTGCTGGGATGCCAAACACAGAAGCGGGGGGG